TCAATCTTTCAAAATCACAACTCGATATGGAACTCTGTAGTCTCAACTCTCAACACAATACCCTGAGGAACAGACAAGTTGACAACAGCAGGACCAACTTTCGCAGCAGCATTAGCAATACTATCTCTACCTAGACATCTACTGCATGGTTTTGCATCATCACCAACCTTGAAAGAAACTTCCTTTTTTACATCCCCAGCAGGCTCAGGACTAACCCTTGACGAAAATTGCCAAAATTTTCCTAAATATGCAAATTCAATGCAAACTATCAATTAAAAAATAGTAAATAAACAACTCAATTGAATTCAAATGGAATATAGAGGAAGAGGGCAAACCAAGATTCCAAAAACCAGCTGGAATAGACAAAGGCTGTTGCATCGAAACCTCTGAGAATTGCCGTGGAAGCAATCCCGATTCACGCAACTGTGCAGGAATTGACAGAGAAACCCTGGTTTCTGGAATTCAGTACAGTTGATTAGATCCCCATTTGGCTGATGAGAAAAATGTTCCGACCTTGAATTCAAATCTTTCTGATTTCAAAAAGAAATTTAACTTACTGTAATTGGAATTGCAGTTTGCGTAAAGGAAACCAGATCCAGCAGTAGCAATAGCTACGATCTTGAGGAGAGAGTTTCTGCTTGAAGAAACAAAAGATTTTCTCTACAAAAAGGTAAAAAAAAAAAAAAATGGATCTTTGATATTAAAAGTGAATAAGGATTAAGGGACATAAAATCAAATGAAAATTACCAGAAAATTGTTCATGAGTGATAATAGGAAGAAGAAATCGCCAAAAATCAGGTCGTCTTTTCTAAAACCCTAACAAAACCCACGAAAATGTTCTATCCTAGAGATTTCAATCTGATTTTCCCTCCCTCTTTTTCCAAAGATTAGTGGGTTCAAAAGCCCAAATGGCCCAACAAATATTAAAAAAAAATTCATATAAATAATAAAGAAATAAACAACACAGAAAATGGTTAAATTATTAAGTCCATTAACAATTGAGCTATTATTACT